CTTCGACCATCCACACCACACTCGGAGCTCAAATATTCTGCTTTATAATGGTCATCAAATTTCCTGAGGCTTTAGTGCTCGCCAGCTTTGACAACACATCTGCTCTAACATTATCGTTTCTCCGAATGTGCTCTACTCGGATCTCCCTAAATTCTTTCATCAACTCCTGTACCCTTGCCAAATATTTAATCATAATCTCCCCTCGAGCTTGGTATACTCCGCTGATTTGCAAAGTTGCTAATTGGGATTCGCTATACACCTCTAGGAGCTCGGCTCTGAGCTCCTTTGCCAAAACCAAACCGGTAATCATTGCTTCATACTCTGCTTGATTATTACTCGTGGGAAACTCCAATGCAAGCGAATATTCTACGGCCACTCCATCCGGGTTCTCTATTATAACCCCTACCCCACTGCCTCTTTTGTTGGACGACCCGTCCACAAACAACTTCCACCAACCATTATCTTGCTTCCCTCCGGGTTGTGTCATCTCTACAAACAACTTCCACCAACCATTTTCTTGCTTCCCTCCGGGTTGTGTCATCTCTACCACAAAATCGGCTAAAGCTTGTGCTTTGATCGCGTTGCGCGCTTCAAAATGAATGCCAAATTCAGATAACTCCACTGCCCATGCTACCATCCGACCTGCGAGGTCTGGCTTATGCAACATTTGCCTTATTGGCTGATTAGTCCGAACAACCACTTGATGACATTGGAAATACTGACGAAGCCTCCTTGCTGTAATCAACAGTGTAAATGCAATTTTCTCTACATGCTGATATCTTGTTTCTGCTCCTTGTAACACCTTGCTTATAAAGTATATCGGTTGTTGTTTCCCATCTTTCCCTTCTCGGACGAGAACTGAACTAACAGCCTCCTGTGACACAGATAAATATAAGTATAACACTTCACCTGGTTTTCGGCTTTCCTAAGATTGGCGGCGAAGCCAACATCTCTTTGAAGCGCTGAAATGCTATCTCACATTCCTCCGTCCATGCAAAATTACTTCCCTTCTTTAGAAGTTGAAATAGTGGCAAAGACACCTGTGCAGACTTGGCCAAAAATCTGGACAAAGCTGTTACTCGCCCATTCAACTTTTGGACTTTTTTAATATTCTCTGGGCTTTTCATTTCCATCACTGCTCTACACTTGTCTGGGTTAGCTTCAATTCCCCTTTCTGTTAACAGGAAACCCAAAAACTTTCCGGCTGGAACCCCGAAAGCGCACTTACTTGGGTTTAAGCGCATATTATGCTTCCTAACCTGCTCGAACACCTCTTGCAAGTCTTGTAAATGTGTCTTACCGTCCCCCGACTTCACAATCATATCATCCATGTATACTTCCAACATTCTACCCATTTGTGCCTTAAACACTTTATTCATCATCCTCATGTACGTCGCTCCTGCATTCTTTAATCCAAATGGCATGACATTATAACAATACACTGCATTATCAGTTATGAACGTTGTTTTTTCTTGATCTTCCTTCCATAACGGTATCTGATTATACCCGGAATATGCATCCATAAATGACAACACTTTGTACCCAGAGGCTCTGTCTACTAAATGATCAATACTTGGTAAAGGAAATGGGTCTTTAGGACAAACTTTATTCAAGTCTGTATAATCTGTACACATTCTCCCCATCCGGCCTCCTTATCAGCACCGGGTTGGCTAGCCACGTAGCATATTCTATTTCTCTAATAAACCCTGCTTCCAAAAGCTCTTGTGTCTTTTCTTCAATGGCCCTCCTCCTTTCTAAACAAAATCTTTGTTTCTTCTGCACTACCGGCTTTACTCCTGGGGTCATTGCCAAGCGATGACAAGACAATGCCGGATCCATACCGGGCATATCTGAAGGTTTCCATGCAAACAAATCAGCATTCTTTTTCAACAAATGCTTCAAACTCTCTGCCACATCGGGCTCCAACTCGGACCCCATCTTAGTACACTGCTGTGGAGATATCCCTAATTGAACTTCTTCCATTGCACCGGCGGGTTCCGGCCTATCCGCCTTGTCCTCCTCCCGAGGGTCCATCTCCACCACCATTACTTGTTCTTCTTTCTTTCCTTCTTCTTCTCTTTGTACATTTCCTTCTTTGGCTTGTTGTGGAGGTTCCACAATATTTTTCTCCTTACCTGCTTGTGGAACTCGTAGACTCATATTATAACAACTCCGAGAAACCACTTGGTCTGCCTTTATCGTAGCTACTGACTCATCTTTGGCCACAAATTTCATAGCCAACTGATCAATCGACAAGAAGATTTTAAACTTCTTCATAAATGGCCGCCCCAAGATAACATTGTACGCCGAGCTCAATTTTACTGCTGCAAACATCAAAGTGACCGTTTTGTGCGCGGGCGCCTTGCCTAACGTCATCCTCAATGGGATATATCCCAATGGCTTAATTTTATCTCTCGTGAAAGCTAATAACTCGGCTCCACATGGCTCCAACTGGTCATAATCCAAATCCATTCTTCTAAACGCATCCAAAAATATAATGTCCACCGAGCTCCCCGGGTCTAACAACATTCTATCAACCCCGAAAGCTTGCTAGCAGCCCAGAAATGACTAAAGGATCGTCGTGCTCTGGATCAATTATCTCATCATCCAGGTCATCAAAAACTACTTGTTTGCCTGTCTTCCTTCTTTCTTCCTTAAAACGCGGCTTATATGAAATGGCCATGCACATCTTTAAATGCTTTTTCCGAGCATTACTCGACTCTCCTCCTCCTGCTCGCCCCCGACTATAGTACACACGTGACCCAACTGGACTTGATTGGGAGATGTTTGCTTTTGTTGTGAAATCTTGCCTGCCTCTTGTCCTCTTCCTCCTGGTGGGCTCCGACTACGGTATGGTCGTCGGGATTTGTCCTCATTGCTACCATCTACATCTCTTCTCACGTACTTCTGTAACTTTCCTTCTTTGATCAATTGTTCAATGACGTTCTGTAAATTAAAACAGTCGTTTGTATAATGCCTGTACCCATGATGAAATTCACACCATTTGGTTTTGTCTGGAAACTTTGACTGAATGGGTGGCGGCCTTGGGACATTTCTCATTTCTGCCAACATTACTTCTTTAAATATCTGGGCTCTTGACGTGTTCAAAGGCGTGAACTCCCTCCGATATGGCTCTCTGAATCTTTCTCCGACTAGACGAGGTTGTCGCTCTTCAAACTGCCCTCTTCCTGCTGGTCTCTGCGGCCTCCGACTTTGACTTGCTTCCCGAAAACCTTGCTCAATTTGCTTTTGAGAAGATTTAAATTCTTCCAAATCAATATACTTTCTGATTCTTTCTAGCAAATCTTCCTTTGTAGCCAGAGCCTTTTTGGCTAACGAGTTGGCAATTCCTCCGGGTTGTAATCCAGTAGTGAACAACAACAGGTACGTTTGATTTTCTAAACCCTTAACTTGTCTTGCTTCTGCCTGAAAACGTTCATAATAATCTCGCAACTTTTCTCCGGACTTTTGTCTTACTCCGCACAAATTTTGCGTTGTTTTAGGCTGGCGTCCGCAATCACGAACCGTTGTGTTAAGTCCACCCAACTTTCTATGGAGTTATCTGGTAAAGCCGTAAACCACTCCAAAGCCTGTTTTCTCAAAAACACAGGAAATGTTCGACACAACAATGAATCTGATTTGCCACACAAGGACATTGATGCCCGGAACACGGTCACGAACTCCTTTGGGTCTGAACTTCCATCATACGCCTTCATGTCACTTGGTTGCTTAAACCAAACCGGGATTGGTTCTGCTCTAAGCCTCCCCGACAAAGGAGTTCCTGATGGTCCCTGATTAATGGGGGGCGCAAGAATCCCTTGTTGAGCTCCTCCGAGTTGTCCATTCCAAACGGGGTGCCCATGAGGCCATGGAAGACGGCATGAGACTTTTGGCCCTGCTTCCGAGTAGGAAATGAGCAGGTGCCCATGAGGCCATAGGAGGCATGGGACTTTTAGCCCTGCTTCCGAGTAGGAAATGATCAGGTGCCCATGAGGCCATGGAAGGCGGCATGGGACTTTTGGCCCTGCTTCCGAGTAGGAAATGATCAGGTGCCCATGAGGCCATGGAAGGCGGCATGGGACTTTTGGCCCTGCTTCCGAGTAGGAAATGATCAGGTGCCCATGAGGCCATGGAATTCGTCATGGGACTTTTGGCCTTGCTTCCGAGTAGGAAATGATCAGGTGCCCATGAGGCCATGGATGGCGGCATAGGACTTTTGGCCCTGATTTCGAGTAGGAAATGAGCAGGTGCCCACGAGGCCATAGGAGAAGGCATGGGACTTTTGGCCCTGCTTCCGAGTAGGAAATGAGCAGGTGCCCATGAGGCCATAGGAGACGGCATGGGGCTTTTGGCGGTTTCCATGCAAACAAATCAGCATTCTTTTTCAACAAATACTTCAAACTCTCTGCCACCTCGGGCTCCAACTCGGACCCTATCTTAGTACACTGCTGTGGAGATATCCCTAATTGAACTTCTTCCATTGCACCGGCGGGTTCCGGCCTGTCCGCCTTGTCCTCCTCCCGAGGGTCCATCTCCACCACCATTACTTGTTCTTCTTTCTTTCCTTCTTCTCTTTGTACATTTTCTTCTTTGGCTTGTTGTGGTGGTTCCACAATATTTTTCTCCTTACCTGCTTGTGGAACTCGTAGACTCATATTATAACAACTCCGAGCAACCACTTGGTCCGCCTTTGTCGTAGCTACTGACTCATCTTTGGCCACAAATTTCATAGCCAACTGATCAATCGACAAGAAGATTTTAAACTTCTTCATAAATGGCCGCCCCAAGATAACATTGTACGCTGAGCTCAATTCTACTACTGCAAACATCAAAGTGACCGTTTTGTGCGCGGGCGCCTTGCCTAACGTCATCCTTAATGGGATATATCCCAATGGCTTAATTTTATATCTTGTGAAAGCTAATAACTCGGCTCCACATAACTCCAACTGGTCATAATCCAAATCCATTCTTCTAAACGCATCCAAAAATATAATGTCCACCTAGCTCCCCGGGTCTACCAACATTCTATCAACGCGATAATTTGCTAGCAGCCCAGAAATGACTAAAGGATCGTCGTGCTCTGGATCAATTATCTCATCATCCAGGTCATCAAAAACTACTTGTTTGCCTGTCTTCCTTCTTTCTTCCTTAAAACGCGGCTTATATGAAATGGCCATGCACATCTTTAAATGCTTTTTTCGAGCATTACTCGACTCTCCTCCTCCTGCTCGCCCCCCGGCTATAGTACACACGTGACCCAACTGGACTTGATTGGGAGATGTTTGCTTTTGTTGTGGAATCTTGCCTGCCTCTTGTCCTCTTCCTCCTGGTGGGCTCCGACTACGGTATGGTCGTCGAGATTTGTCCTCATTGCTACCATCTACATCTCTTCTCACGTACTTCTGTAACTTTCCTTCTTTGATCAATCGTTCAATGACGTTCTGTAAATTAAAACAGTCGTTTGTATAATGCCCGTACCCACGATGAAATTCACACCATCTGGTTTTGTCTGGAAACTTTGACTGAATGGGTGGCGACCTTGGGACATTTCTCATTTCTGCCAACATTACTTCTTTAAATATCTGGGCTCTTGATGTGTTCAAAGGCGTGAACTCCCTCCGATATGGCTCTCTGAATCTTTCTCCGACTAGACGAGGTCGTCGCTCTTCAAACTGCCCTCTTCCTGCTGGTCTCTCCGGCCTCCGACTTTGACTTGCTTCCCGAAAACCTTGCTCAATTTGCTTTTGAGAAGATTTAAAATCTTCCAAATCAATATGCTTTCTGATTCTTTCTAGCAAATCTTCCTTTGTAGCCGGA